TGCTTAAATGCAGAACCTAAACAGGCCTGGATCTGGCTGGTACCTGTGTAGGAAACCTCCTGAGAGGTTTTGACCATCTACACAAGCCATGGAATTCTGACCAGTTAAATGGAAAACAGTTACATGCCAAATAATTACTGGGACCTTGGGCTGTGCTTGTCACAAACTACCCTGCCACCTGCAGTAGAGAGCTAGTGAGCTAGAAAAGACCTAGATGAAATAAGAATTAGACTTGGACTTTTGTCCTAAATGCAAATAGAACTTAGAAACTGTGGAGAGGCCATTCTGGTCCCATCATTGTTACTAAGTTGAAGGCATAAAAAGAGTCAGGTCACAGTGCGTGAGCAAGGCACCACTGCTTCGCTGTTAACTGTAATTTAGTTCTTGAACATTTTGCTCTGAATCTGGAATAAACCATAACCAAACAGGTAGTTTCAGAGCCTGCAGGTCAAGTAACAGGTAGAGAAATGCAGCAAGTCTGTTGAAATAGGAAGTCCAAGCCTTCCAGCTGCCAAACAGCAGACAAGAAAAACCCACTTTGTATGCTTCCCTTAAACATGCACAGAAATAATCTGCCTGAAAGCACAAAAACAGACAGAAGCTTTAGTAGATTTCTTGCATGCTGAAAACACTGCAATACAATGCACCACAGCATCTCCTGTAAATATGTCAATACCCTCTCTGCAGGAAACTGCATCCTAAACTCTTAATCACTTTCTGCTTTTCCTTTCTATTTTCTTTAGTCCAGCAACCTTGTGTTTCTCTTCCACAAGATGCTGGAGGACCTCAAAAACCACTGCGAAGCGCCTCTTACTGAAGTGACATTAACACTGGTTCTGGGTAGCACACCATGTGCATCTTTGCATGCCTTCCTTTACAGACCTTCCTCTGTCCTTTGAGAGGAATGTGGGAGCAGTGGAGCATCTAAGCATCACTAACGGACTGCAACTAGAGCAGCAGGAGAGTCCTTTCCTTTTAAAAAATGTTACTGCCTGCGCAACGTAGTGGGACCTCAGGGCTGCATTTATCATAGGTTAACCCTGCCAGCTGCAGTGAGAGTTTTCTAGTGAGAGCTGGAGATGTTGTGGATGAAATAAGAAATGGCTACAAACTTTCGTCCCAAACCACAAAACAGACTTGAAATCTTATCTCTGAGTCTGAGAAACTTTAGGCCATGGATATCTACAGGCTATTTTTAGAGCTGAGGAAAGGAACCAAGGAACAAAAAAAAAAAAAAAAAAAAAAAAAAAAAAAAAAAAAAAAAAAAAAAAAAAAAAAAAAAAAAAAAAAAAAAAAAAAAAAAAAAAAAAAAAAAAAAAACAAACCAGCTTCACTAAGATGAAAATAATAAAATGTTCTGGGATATGTTATGTTCAAAAGTTTAATGTGGACTTAAAAATTACATTCCTAAAAACATATTGGACTAACTAATCTCCGGCAAAATGACTTCCATATAGTGAAGTTAAAATTTGACCAAAACAAAGGCCAATGCGAGTTTTTAAAGATATCCTAAATAAAGCAAGAATTACACTGTGATTTTTCAGAACAAAATAATGAATTGTTCCCTTTTTGTCATGTTCTATCAATTCCACTACTGCTAAAATCTCTATAAAATCCCAAAGGACTCCGACTTTCTGATCAAGTATTTGAGGCTTCATGAAGCATTCTGTAGAAAGAATAGCCCTATGAAACATTTTGTAGCTTGACTATACACGCATATGCACAAACAAGCTGGAACATAAATTGCAAAATTTTTCCATTAATTTAGTCTATTTCCCTAGAGAAATATATTGAGGACACATTCATTTCTAGTTCCTGTGAGATTAGGCAAATGTAAATAATGCCAGTTTTTGTTGAAAAGTTTTTCACTCTTTGTCTTGCTCCTAGTCCAATATGGAGATTAACAAAAAAAAAAAAAATAAATAAACCAAGCAAAACTAATATGGGGTGCTCAGCATTTCCATTTTGGTGGGTTGAGTGTAATTTGTGCCAAGCAACATTTTGAATTCTTCCTCAAACCTAGGTGGTCTGATACTCTAAATTCTTGCTCACATACCCCAAATGCTAAGATGCTATTTTGGTTCAATGGAGAATCAGGACACAGGAAGGGTTAAAGACCACCAAAATACGGACTCCAGAAGAACAATAGGAAAAAGCACTGAGCAGAATCTGAGTGAGGGAGAAAATAAATTTGGGACTCTCATCACCTTTCAGCTATGGGAGAACTTGCTGGAAAATTCAAAGATTCATGTTTTAGCAAAATGCAAGTATTTGCCAGTAAATAAAACACAATCGCACTTCCTCATGAATACTGCTCACGACTTTCAGTAAAAACCTCCTTGCAAACTACAGGTTCAAAGAGCACTGCATTCTTTCACTAGCACCGTGGCCTGGCACCAAAATTCACCATAATTCAGGAGATAGATGTGTATTAAGAGTATGGACTTTGGGCAGACCAAAAGACACGTGCTATGCAGAAGAACTCCTTTGTCTCCCAAGCCCCCCTCTTCCCTCATGTCCCAGTCCAATACTTGGACAGGGTATAATAAGCTACAACTTAAGTTTCTTTGTTGTTGAAGCTGACCTTTATCTTGCAGCCCTAATGAAGTCTTTTGATGTGCTCCTAAGATACATGGCCTCCTTTTTAGCATTCTGTTTGCCGCGCCTGCTTTAACCGGTGGGCTCTTGAAGAACGTAAGTTTTCGTACAATGCCTCCCTTGGGTGCCAATTGTTCTTTTCTCCCTTAGTTGCCCTTGAGTCATGCCGTCCTGAAACATCACCAGCCCAGAAGCAGCTTGTCAGTGGGGAATTAGGACAACGTGTCTTTCACATCAATGATGAACCCACCCGCTTGGCCTCTGCATTGTGATCACCACCGATAGAAGCAATATGGGAGCAGACTGGATGGGAAGAGATGAGGTTTGTGCAAGATGGGGAGATAATTAGCTAAAACACAATGGGGAGGGAAACACTGGTGTGACAGATAATGTGGAATCAAACTGCCACCGGAGCCCTTTGCAGTTCAAGCCACCGCTCCTGAAAGCAGCTGCTCTCAGCAAAGGAGCCTGAAAACCCTTCCCAGAAAGCCAGGCATGTGTTCTCTATTACTGATTTGCATTTAAAAAAAAAAAAAAAAAAAAAAAAAAGAGAGAAAAAGAGTGATTGGGAGCTACATACCCTGTAGGCGCACTAAGCAAATTGGCCAGCCTAATTATTATTTTTTGGTATGTCTAATTAAATAGACAAAAGGCCCTCCCTTAACTCTCGCTGTCGGCACGAGCTCCACTGGAATGTGCATAATGTCCCCTCATTTGCCCAGGCAGCTGAGCCTTTCCCTTTTCCCCCAGGAGACTGGCGTTGACAACTGCCCATGGCTTACCCAGTCCTGCTCAGACACAGAGCCAGATCGTGAGACAGGGAGGGAAAAGGGGGAAATTGACCTGGTTCTGCTAAAAACTACCGGACAGTGCTGTACAATGTGACATGCCTTTGTTGCAGAGATGTGCTGCAGCCCTTCATAGCAGAACTTGCCATCGCAGATCCCATCAGATACTTCCTGCCCAGTGCTGGCCAAATTCCCTCAAATTTTCTTTAAGGGGTGCTCTGAAACTGCAATATTTATCCCTCAGACCTCTGACGTTTTCCCAGCACTCAGTTTCTCTCCTGCTCTGCAATTACATGGCACCGCAGCCCTTCCTTTCAGAGCCTTTCTTGACTTGCCAGTTTCACCACTCCATAACACCAGTCCTTTAACTACAAGCTAGCTGCATACAGTCTCCCAATGACTTGAGTCACTGGAGAGTTTCAGCCTCACACTGACACAGCCAAAGCCTCTGGAATCCACAGCTTTCAAATGGGAAGAGAACATGGTGTGCTCTCTCTTTGAGGCATTTTACTCCTTTTAAGTAGTTGTTGCTGGAGATTTCCACTAATGCCAGCACAAAGATAGTCATCTCACAAATGAGGAAGAGTTTACATTTATGGTGGAAATTGAAAAGTTTTCAGACATCGAAGAGCCATATCATTACTAAATGACAAACCCTACTCCCACACTTATCTGATACAGAAGCTCTAGAGGTTTTTACTGCATAGATGAGGAAAAGCCTCTCTATTTTTTCCCCTAAGAGATAGGGATAGAGAGGAAGGAAACATGTCATTATATATATATGCATGTATATATATAAATGTACAGATATAAGGAAAAAAAAAAAGCAGATGGTAATTTATCCAGCATAACAGACCATCTCACACTTCCTTAGTGAGCCCTGTGTTTGATCTGACAAACAGGGTCCTATTAGAAGAGTACAGTGAAGTATCACCACATCAGTTCAAGTTGAAAACCTTTTACAGGAAACACCTTATCACTGGTGATCTATTGAACAGTCACTTAGCAAAGCCTTCCAAATCCACTGTGCAGGATGGAAAAGCAAAAGACCAGCTCCTGATTTCAGCTGCACCTGTGCAAATCCTGAATAACTCCCCGGGTCTAAGAGGAGTCTTCAGTTTCCACAACAGGTTTATCCAGATAAGCTGATACAGGTGCAGAAAACTCTGCCAGCTGAGAATTTGCTTTCTCCAAAAGCAGAATTGCTTCAGTGCAAGCAGAAACAACATGGTCAGAGAAACCATAAAATATCTGCTTTATCTTAACCAAATTAAATACCTCTGCAGATCAGCACAACGTAGGTCTGAAAAAAACCCACATTGCCGTCACTGCTGTTAAACTTTGTTAAGTCAGTGCCTGATGCTTCACTTCTTAACGAGGCAGTTATTTGTTTCTCAGGCAATCGCTGGCACCTGCCTGCCTTTTAAAATCAAATAATAATTGAATATGAGGAAAGTGAGATGAAGTAAAGGAGATTTAATAAAGAGAATCTTTGCTGCGGAGGGAATTTCTTTGGCAGTGATTACGTTACTAATTGATCAGCACATTGCCTGAGAGAAGCCAGAGACAACAATTATACTTAGCACTGTGGCTGAAAGCAATGCAGTCAACTACCTCCTCGGCTTTCGCTGTCCGCTGGTTTCACCTGGATCGGTCTGTTCATCTGCAAGGAAGAACAAAGAGAAACATGTAATTAATGGAGGAACCAAACTTTCATATGCAGAGTCTCGCTTTGTTTTTTGCCGTACATCATAATTAGCACCAGAATTTACTCCACAAGGAGGGGGAAAAAAACAATTAGCAAACATGGAAGCAACCATGGAGCAAAGGCTGCTGCTTGTTCTGAGGTAAATAAATCAGTGTCACTCCATTTACCTGACAGTAGCTCTGTTGAATCACACTGGGAGAGGGATCTGACTCATTTCACACAGGTCATGAAATTTTAAACACAACTTTTAAAATTTCTAACAGTTTCTTCTGGAAACACTACTGTGTGAGAGTAGAAATGCTTTGTCAGAACATCAGGATCAGTGAGACTTTAATTGCCAAGTTTTCTTGAGACTGGCATGCTGAAAATTGAAAAGCAAATTCCACTTCTACTGTTAGCTCAGTAGGATAGTCACGTGTAACATAGCAGACTCCATTTCATACTTGGGGAGTGGGATTTGGATCTGATTTGTCTACATGCTGCAGGAGTGTTCGATGCTGTCATTTTTTGACATAGTAGAGGACAGGATATAAGTCAAAATTTCTCTCTGTGTTGCTTTTTCAGGCATGCTCTTACTTTCTCCCATCAGAATAAATACAAGCACAAAAACCTTGCCACTGTGCTGCGAATAGGATTTCTGTTATCAAAATTATCCCTTTGTCAGTCAACAAAAGCATCAGGGACCATCACTATCCCCAGAGCTGCTCGCTCCAAGGAGGGCAACAGATGTCCACAATGGACTTCATTGGCAGTGCAGACTTGATGTGGGTGTCTGATAACAGGGGTGAGGATATAACCCTCCTGTCAATAGCCAGAGATGCAAAGTGGATCAGAACCAGCTGAGATTAACCTGAAAGCTCTTCCTTGCCTCTTACTCCTTGGCACATAGAGCAGTCCATACACTGCTGTGCACAAGGATTATTCAAAATATCTTTCTATGTGTGGCCATGTCTGAGTGGAATGAAAATATCTTTTACGTTTTTCAACCAACAAATAAAGTATAAGTTCAAACAAGTATCACAAGGAGCAGGAGGTCAGAAGACAATAGGAATCTCCCAACATATGTCTTCCCAAATAAAGTTGGACCGCAAATTGGCTGATGAATGTCACAGGGTGCCTTCAGGGGATACTATAAATCCCTTATTTGTGGCTAATCACAGTTGGGCAGCAGATCCATTAGTTTTATTCCTTCCCCCTCCCCCCTCCCAGTTTTCCCTTTTCCTATTTTTTTTTAATTTTTTTTTGGAAAATAGTTCATAATAACTTAGATTTATTCTAATTGCTCTGCACACATATTTAGTAATAACAAGTTATCAAGCTGGCTGACAAGTAGGTTAAGATGATGAAAAGCTTAGCAGATCCTGCTGCATTGTTGTCTCTAGAGAAAAATGTACTTATCCATAAACTGACTACAGTTAGACTCACACTCAGAGAGAGAAGGATCAGTGGCTCCAGACGCTACTGAACAGTTTCTGCTCTGCTAAAACCAACAGAGAATCTAGTACCAGATAAAGCTTGTATCAGCCCCTGCTTCTGCAGCTGTAAAGACCCATCACTCACATAGGTATCACAAGATATTTAGCAGGGCCAGAGGCAATATATTTAGCAGCAGCAGGACAGACATCCTGCCATAGGGCTCCTGTAACATGTGAACAGTTAGCTGTTACAGACATTTAAAGATCTGACATCACACAGATGCAGAGGGTAATTTATGTCATGTAACTCCAAATGTACAAAACCTGTAATTTTAAACCACTCTTAAAGTGTCTAAAATGAAAGGAATGTGCGGTCTTCTGAAGTGCCTGTTCCTCTCTGGTGATCACAAAGATAGACTATGCATTTAGGTGACTTTCACCTTTATTGGACTTATGCCAGACAAACCCCATCTTGGCTCTCATGTGCAGGATAATGAAGCCAAATTGCCCCATTACGTCCCTCAGCTACTCAAAGTCTGTGACTGGTTTGTGTTTGTAGCAGGTTGGTGTTGACACCACCTGCATAACAAGGTCCGACTTTTGACACTTGCACTCTTGCTATGTATTCTGGGTTCCAAATGTGGTCCTGATAGCTAATCTAACTCCTGTGGGCAGAGGATGGTGGTCAGAGGCTCCTGGTGCTCACTCAGCTACAGCCGGAACCTGCATCCCAAGCAGTCAGCAAGAGAAACAGTCACGGTAGACAGGAATTTATAGGAGGTGTGCAGTGCACAGCCCTAGAGAGGCAAGGTCTGGAATCCAAAATGGACACAGCCTTGCGATGCAGAATACCCCATAAATCTACAACATAGGTACTGATCTGAACTCTATGAAAATCCCCACTGCACTCGAGTAGGCTTTGGAGCCAACCTTTAGGAAAATCAAACAGAGCTCTTCCTACTTGTTGAGTTGGATGTGATCAGCTTGCAAAAGGCANGGGAAGGAGCATCCAACAGAGGAACTAAAAACTGGGGGAATTAATAAGTAAAAGCCTAGTGTAATTTAATGTACACTATGATTTATACACTTGACAATTTCTTTACAGACCAAAGAGAAAGTGCTGCCTGCACAGAGCCCATAATACAAATTGAGATCATCTTGACATGAAAGACACCAATTATAGGGAGAAACACTGAGAGGAAAATAATTAAGTTTCCTCTCTCCATCTATGGATTTTTTTTTTCTTTTTTTTTTAACACAGACACTCTTGGAGCAAGGAGCTGTCATGGGGACCAGAAAAGGGCTATATGGGGAAATAAAATGGTAGAAAGATGTAGCTTTCCCAGTCTGGGGAAATGCCTTCTTGGGGAGAAGGGAATTTAGAGATTCAAGCCCCCTGCTTATTCTTCACCTGGGAATTGCCATGGGTTTAATGAAATGAAACCAAAGTTTATACTCCAAAATGGAATCTTTTGTAGAGTGTTTGAGGGAATACTGATATGGACATCTTTAATATCTGTCCTGTCATGGTGTACCCTGTGAGTATGATAGAAGAAATCAGGCAGCAAATCTGATTAATACCATGGAAATCCGGATGGGATCATAGAAATTACAGATGTGACTGTGAGGCTTTTATTGAACTCTGTCTCTAGAAGAGAGGTTTGGAAACATGAGAAAAGACCTGGGCAGGCTGACCCAGCATCTGATCTGACAGATGGAGCGGATGTAATCTGTTGGGCTTTCCTCTAGAATGTGCTACACTTCTGTCCATTCAGTGGTCCTTCTTTCCTCTGCCCATGGATCCTCTGTGCTCTCCTTTGAAATATGATCTAGGGTTCCTTATTCTTTTTTATTCCTACTGGGCTGCCACTGCAAAAGAAGTATACTATTTTACCATCAGTTAACCCAGGAAGTGTTTATCTCCTCTTTTGCCTCTCTCCCAACCTTTAGGACCTGCCTAAATTTTTTATTCTCTACACAATATGAAGATGCCTGACTTTGGGGAACCAGAATGCTCAATAGGTATGAAACCATTACAAATCAGGGCAATGTTTATCCTCATTCATTTTTCAGAGCCCTGTTTGGTCAAAAATTTGCTTTGAATTGCCTCACTCAACAGCGGTTTTGTAGCAAAGATGTGCTGAGAGCCACTGGGGCCCAAAGAGATTTAGGCAATGCCAAAAAAATTAATTTAGGTGTCTGGTTACACATGACAGATCCAGTTTTCCAACAGGTGGTAAGCAGGTGGCAAAACAGGGGTTTATTCACAATTATGTTCCCAATGTGGACTCAGGAAAAGCCTGAGTTACTCATGTTCCACATCTGTACCAGAAATTATGGGCACTGGGTACCACTGCAGTTGTGAATCAGTCCCTTTCAGAAAGGGGTGTTGTAAGTCCTTTTCCCACAGGTGCCATAAATGTTTGGGTTTATGGAGAAGTTAGAACTTTACGTGCGTCACACTTCTCAGTTTTCTTTGATTCTTTGCAAGCTCATCTCTTGAAAACCACCTTCACACACCTTGGACAAGATGATCCTACTTGTTACACTTCATACCCTTAAATTTGGCTTTTTATTCCTTTTTTTTTTTTTTTCCTAAAACCAACCCATTCAAATTATGCCAGATATCACCATCTCACACCAAATTGCCACTGCCCCACCTACCCCCACTCCAATTCTCCCAGCAAGTAGAAACACAACATCATTTTTCATGTCCAATTACGGCCACTGTGGTGCCACTGTTAAAAGACAGCGCAGGTACTCCTGTCAAAAAGGGTTTGAGTTACAAGAAGCGATGAATTATAGCAAGCCCTTTTTCAATTCTCCACAGAAATGAAATGTCAGAGCTTGCTGCTGTATTTTTCTCAGCACCATCAGCTACAGGCCACTGCAGGAATTAGACAGGGGACAGACGCTTTTCTGCATCATGATTTTTCTTTTCCTAAGGTTGTCGTTTTCTCCCCCACCAACCCTCTTCTTCTCCCTCTGGCTTTGATATTAATTTAGAGCAGGTAGAAGGATCACCTGGGAAAGAAGAGTGTGAAGCAGAGACAGCTGATTTCTCACTGTTTCCATCTTTCTTCTTCTCACTGTTCCTACTACCCTTTTCTTTCTTTTCTCGCTCAGTTTTTCATTGCCTATCAGTATATCTAGTGTCTCTAGCTAGGACTAAGACTCTACCAGGTTTGGGAATGGACAAATGCAGCGATTAAAAAATAAGAAGAAATGGAAAAAAAATCAAAAAGCATGGAGATACACTGAATAGATTAAAATGTGATCTGAGATGGGAAGGAAAGGTGAGGAGATAAGGAGAGTACTGAAGATCATGGAAATGTCACTGATGGTTAGAGAGAGCATGTCCAAGCAAAAGAGAGCTATACTGGAGATAATCTGATGATTGCGCTTAAGGATTACAAAATTTCAGGAGAAAAAAGATTATTCAAGATCTTATATGTGCTATAAGACCATGGAAGATGATCCTGGTAATCATCTAGATAATAATAAATAACCTTTCCACCCTTCCTTAGAGGTCTTAAAAAA